CTAATCCTTTTTGACAAGTGTGATGCTCTGCTTATAATGCGATGTCCTGTTTCATTGTTTATAGCACTTAAAATTTTATGTAACCCAATTGTTTGGATAATCGATGATGGCTTGTTATGTAATGAGTGCTGCATACTAATATCAGGACAGCATGCATTTTGGTGGAATGCATTTTTCGTCTCTTATTAAGTTAGAGCTTTGTGCAGATATGTATTACTACAAGTACGTCAGCTGGTTTAGAACAGATTTTGCCGTGGATGTTTTATCACAAGGTTGTTGGAGCTACTACCTTTTTCCTATTTGTGGAAGGAAAGGCTGCATCTCCTGAAGTATCTAAAGTTCTGGAGTCTATTCCTGTGAGTTAAATAATACTTCACTCTGACTGCCTACGTCCTGTTCAGTTGCCTTCTTCTCCCCTTTATTTTTCTTTTCCATGTGTTTTTTTTATTGTAATTTTTTTTTAATATTTTAAAAATGCATTTTTGCAATGCTTAATATGGTGAAAGTTTTCGAGCATAAATTTTTTGGTACTTTGTCAGGGAGTAAAGGTGATATACAGAACTAAAGAGCTTGAGGAACAACAAGCTAACAGGTGAGTTGATTCTGCCGCTGACACTTGGTGCCTGTCTTGTGCTTACTATAATGTAATCTTCTAGTATTGTTAAGACTTAAGACTCCTGGATATTTTGATTAACGTAACCAACATCTCTAAATGCTTGAACATCTTTTTTTTTTTTATCCTTTTTCCGTAGACTGGTAGATACACACACATTTATATATACCAACAATCCAGCTTTGGGACAGTAGCCGGAATGTGGCACCAGGATGATTCAAATGACCCCTCTGGCTATTCAACTTGTGCAATAAAAAAAGAGCAAAACACAGTTGTTTAGGGCTTTGGTTTTAACTCCTGATTTCAGGGATACTAAGTTCGTGGAGTTGAGAGTTAAAATCTAAAGCCTAAGCCCTAAATCGACTCTACACAAAATAATAACCTTGTAGGGAAAATGGATTGAAAACTAGACTAAATAAAAAGAAACACAACGTTACTGTGCTGACAGCAAGCACAGCTGTTCAAATGGTGGACATATCAGCAGTGCTGTTGTCTGCTTCTGAGAAGAATTCTGCATACATTTTCGCTTAAATCACTTGTATTTTGTGTTTCTTGTTTTTTTGTTACCATCAGTCGGATCTGGAATGAGACTTGGCTGTCCAGTTTCTTTTACAAACCTTGCAATTATGAGCTATTTGTGAAGCAATCTCTCAATATGGAGATGGCTATTGTCATGGCAAGGGTATGAAAGATTTTTCTCATGTTACTTGTGCCTATGTTGTTACTTTTACCTTGTGATGAGAGGTTTTCTTAATTTATTAATCTCTTTTGTTGCTTGGGACTTTCTGTTGCATATAAAAATATTAGGATGCTGGAATGGACTGGATAATTCATGTTGACACAGATGAGTTACTGCACCCAGCTGGGGCCAAGGAGTATTCTTTGAGGCAGTTGCTGCTTGATGTGCCTGGGAATGTGGATATGGTCATTTTCCCGAACTATGTAAGTGAAATATTCAGTTACTTTTAAGTTGTGTACGTGTAAAGATGATTAAGCATTCTAGTCTTGTTGTTTTTGAATATTGGCGCCCGTTTCAGCCCTTATGCATGTTATTCGGTGATTTAACTAACTGGTTGTTTGTTTTGTGCAGGAGAGCAGTGTTGAACGGGATGATATTAAGGAACCATTTACTGAGGTGAATCTCCTCTGTTGTCCATCATTATTGCTTCTTACTTGCTTCAATAAATTTCATTAGATCTCTGAAGTTCAACAATTACGAGATTGATATTTGCTATTCGATATGGGCTGTCAGCCTGGTAAGGTCTTTAACCTGCATACCATAACTTTGAATTTGTGAAGAATACCATAACTTTGAATTTGTGAAGAGTTTGTAACCTTATCCAGTCTTAGATTTAACATGCTGGGAAGCAGCAGTATGTTCTTGCCCTGTTGAACTATGCAAGGATATGGTTGTTAGACAGTGACAATCATATATTCCGAATTTATGGATTAGACCAAACATATTGTTCTAAAGTTTTACCAAGATCTGCCTCTTTTCATATCTAGACACAAAAGTTGGAAGTTAATGTGTTAGTTCAAATAAGGGCATATTCTTTAAAGACAAGTACGTAAGTGTGGGATTAGAGTGAGTAATATTTATGATACAGATGGTGCTGCATAAAGATTTGGTAGTTACGAGCAGTAGAGTCGTAGACAAGGTCTTTCTGACTTTGTACTTCCAGAATGAGAAATAGTACTTTAAATAAATGTATCCCAGTTGATTCTAGGAATGCTTCACGTCATGTTTATTTTTATATTTCAATTAGCATGCATGTCCTGTCTTTGTCTTATGCCTTGCTCTTGTATCTACGCAATCAGGTTTCCATGTTCAAGAGGAATTATGACCATGTACAAAAAGACACATACTTTGGTATGTATAAAGAGTCAGTTCATGGTAACCCAAACTACTTTTTGACTTATGGAAATGGGAAATCAGCTGCTCGAGTCCAAGATCATCTTCGTCCTAACGGTGCACACAGATGGCACAACTATATGAAGACCCCAAAGTACGGTAATTTTATGTTGGAAAGAACAGTGTTTTGGGGTCAACTTATTGGTCATAGTAATCATATATATCCTATTTCCTTCTTAGCGAGATCAAATTTGAAGAGGCTGCTGTTCTGCACTACACATATGCCAAATTTTCAGACTTAACATCTAGACGTGATCGGTGTCGCTGCAAGCCTACAAAGGAAGATGTCAAAAGATGCTTTATGTTGGAGTTTGACAGAGCTGTGAGTTCAATTCTTTAGTTAGTTATTTCTAAACTTTCTACCGGTACAAGATCATCGAGCATATAATGTGATCAGTTAACTTTTTAAAGTTACCTAGTTGGTCCATGCAATAGAATTCTTGAAAATTTAAATAAATATCTATTGGTAGAGCTGTTACTTGGAAATCTAAAAGGGAATATAGTTTTTCCAACTCCAAGCATAACTTAAAGTGCTCCATATCGAGCAAAGTGGTCTTCTAAAACCATTTTGCAGATTTGGCTAATATTCTACAAGATTTGTAATAGAACAGTGGACTTGTCTTTTCCCTTATATTTCCTCTTTCTTTTAGTGTAATAGCTGCCAGCTCTTGAGCTTGCTTTTTCGTTTGCATTTCATCGTGCTAACTCTTTCATATACTAACAACATGTAGCATTGCAGGCATTCATAATTGCATCAACTGCAACCAAGGAGGAAATGCAGAAGTGGTAAGATTTTCTTTACAAGTTGTTACATTTATCTTGATCCTCCTTTAAAATTTAAAGTATGATGAAACCTTCTTTTTAATCCTTTATTGTGAATTAAAGTCTGCGCTTGGCTTTCGTTCTAGGTACCATGAACACATTGTGTGGGATGACAAAGACATAAGAATCAAACTTTTGAGAAAGGGAATTTTAACTCGGATATACGCTCCCATGGTAAGCCGATCAACTCAAACTTAAATTTTTTGCAGCTGATCAACTCATTTAAATAATGTAATTAACAAATGATTTTCGTGAAAGTATTGACAAAACCTCAAAACCTAAATTAAATCGTTTTTTACCTGCTCATTCTGTATCGTTTTAAGGCTTTCACTCACTGTACATTTCAGGCCATAATAAAAGGACTAAGGGAGTCGGGAGTCTTCAGCTCCGTTATTGCATCTGCCCCAACAACTCTCTCAAAAGAAAAGTTTTTGTTGACCATTAATGGTAGTAACTCCTCGAAAGCTGCTGCCTCCGAATCCCACCCGTCATTGAGGAAGATTGGTAGAAGCAGAGAGAGTAAGGCTACTGCCAGGAAGGCCTTGGATATTGAAACTGCTGAATTTAAAGAAGTGGCTGTTCCACCATTGTCCCCTCCGGGAATGGACGATAACCAGGCCAGTGTGGAAGTGTAAAATAAGGTCCTTTATCATGATTGAATCATTAAAATACATTACGGAGTAGGTTCTACAAAAACGTGTATCAAAAGTTGTGTACAAAAAGCTGTTCCACGGATCTGCCCCTATATTCATGCATTATGAGTGTAATCTATTCTTTTCAATTTTGTATAGTGAATGTAACATTTAAATTGAGAATTTGAGATTCACATGTGATATGTGTAACGCTTGGCTCCTTTAGTAGGCAAAAATGCTTTGAATTCGAGCACAAATGCGGTCAGATTCCTTTTTCTTTCTTGCATACAAAGAGGAACGCTTGGCTACTTTAAAATACTTTGTGGTCAATTCACAAAATTGTGTTTATGATGGAAAGTATTCATATTATAAATCAGAAAAAGAAGGTGAATTAATTCTGGTTGGCAAGGAATCAGGGATGAGAGATTCAGTGAATTTTTTCGATATTTTGAACTTTTTGTTTCAAAGTGGCAAATCTTCGAGATACTTTTCACTTGGTCTTGCAGCGCATTCACTCTCGTTACTAGAATTAAATCACGCCCTAGCTCGCCTTGAGACCAAGACTCCTTACAACTCGGACCAATAGCATGGGCTTGACTTGAAAACAAAACAACTGGCATTGCCACTCGCGGATAGGGCATTTTTTGTCCTTTAAGTCCTTATAAATATCATTTCATAAAAAAATAATTAAAAAAATCGTTTAATCAATCAACTGTAATAAATAGATGAATGATTCGTAATGCGTTTATTGAATTTGACTATTTGTTTTTTTTACCGTATAATGACTAAACAATTATATATATATATATATATATATATAATATATAAATGCATATATTTTTTTTTATTAAAAACGCTTTCTACTAAGTGATTTATAATATGAATGATTTTGATCATAAACATAATTTTTAGTAAATCAATAACAAAAGACTCCCATTCCATACAAATAAGAAGTGAGATTTATTTCTAATTAAAAGAGGCGATGTTAACGTAACCTGCCGTTATTTTATAAAAAGCAAAATGATAACATTATCCACTCCGAGCGGAAGAGCTAAGCTGCTGCCATGGCAAAGCTTCTCATCTCCAACACAGCCTCACTCGCTCTCTCTCCTCCACCACCCGCCCCACCATCACGTGCTTCATTCATCCCTCCGCGCGTGCCCATCTCGCCGGCGTCACGGTATCCCGGCCGGCAAACCAGAGGCCTAGCAGTGGTGACACGTGCGGGGCCCACCACGAGCCAGTACGTGTTCGCATTCGTTTTGCCGCTCTCTCTGATCGCCGTCACCGTTTTCACCTCCATCAGAGTCGCCGATAAGCTCGACAGAGACTTCCTTGAAGAGGTTTGTCGAATTTCTGCAGCTCCGTTCTTTGATATGCATGCGGTTTAATGCTTCCGAATATTTGAATACCTGTGACTGCATTCGTATAGCATATGAATTAAACTCGGAAGAGCTAAAAGTGTTTCCTGACAATTAAAAACGCTTTTGAATATGTTTTGGAAGCAAAAGCGCTAGGGTTTTTTAACAAAAAATTCAATATGTTTATAGTAACACGCTTTTTGCAGAAACACTTGCGAGCAGAAGTGCTTCCCTACCGAAGCAATCGCAAATGAGCTCCGTCTTGCTTTGTTACGAGTTTTTCCAGTTTCTAATCTCTCTTTTGAAGTAGTTTGTTTTAATCGTAGCAGAGCAATATCTCTCGTGCGTGCAAATGTTGTTTAGTAGTTTTCTCGTTGTGTTTAACGGTTAATGAAGTACTTTGTCACCGCAATTAACTCGTGATTTCGGGTGCAGCTTCCATGTTCTTAAGAGATTTATGTGTAATGCAACTCTGATGGTGCAGTTTCGAGTAATCGAAAACTCATCGTTGGAACCCTAGTTGAATAGCAGGGGCAGGAAAGTGAGCGTTTTGTGAGCGCTGCTAAAAAAAAGCATAGTTTCAGTCTCTTTTTCTTTATGATGTTCATAAGCTACTGGATTTTGTTTCTGTTGATGTTTTCTTTAGTAGTCATAGTGTTTGTGTTCTTGATGTAGATGGCAATCAACCAAGCGATCAGGGAAACGGATGAGGATGGCGAAGCTGACAGTTCGATAGAAGAAATGCCTGCACTTCCCCGTACCCGCAACCGGCCCAAAAGGGAAGTCTAGGCTTCGGTTTCTTGCTCGTTAAGGTTTAGTTTTGTGGTTAGATCAGGCTGCGGCCGTGCATTATGAATCTGTCAATGTACCGGAAGGAAAGAGATCGAGGGACTGTTGACATTTTTTTGACAATTTTGTATGTCAAATGCATGTTAACATTAGAATGTTGTGCCTAGCGCCCCTCGGGAATAAGAGCGAACGGCGATCTCGATGGTTTAATTCCGGTGAATGTATGCGTTGTGTATTTTGTATGTAGAAAAAGAAATATGGAATGAACATACATCATTTGTACAACAGGCAGAGAATATTAAGGGGTTGTGAAAAAATAACCGTTTCATATTCAAGTAAGACGGTTTACTAACATAGTCATTGGTCTAGAGGTACTTCTCTTCCCAGTATTAGACGACGGCCCTAATTCAAATCAACGCATTTAAACCTCCATTGTCAAAACTCAAAGATTTCTTTGCGTGTTGTGGAAGGGCTTCTCCTCCAGATGAAGGTTAAGAGGAACCATGCAAGGCAATGATATGATCGACTACATGAAATTGGCAATACGATACCAGTCACAATTTCTCTAGACAGATTATGAACATTATATATCTGGAATCTTCGACCGATCGTTAAAAAATTCAGAGTACCTCAACTCCTGCAATCTGGAACTGCTTCTCTTCTTTGCCATCCAATTTCCTTGATATTGGAATTTGGAGCTTGCCTTGAGAGAAACATACATCCATGTCATCAGGGAATACTACCAGAAGAGTTGTTTATCTCCCACTAGGAAAATATACTTCCATTCAAGCAACGACCAGCAAACCAACATAGAGAGTCCCTACCAGGGTCTCTGAGCCAAATTGTACACTGAACCTCCAAAACACATTGAGACCACAGCCGAGAAAGTTGCAGAGAAACAAAGAAAGCAGGCTACCCACATTCAGCAGTATCATACTCGCCAGAAGACACTTGCCAAGCAACCCCAATCACAAGTTGCCAAACCAAAAGTTCTAGCTTCAATAAGAGTTCACTAGCCCCTCCTACTATTTAGCTGTATGCATTTCTACAAACTTGTAGCTGAAGTAGGTTGAAAAAAAAAGACAGATCATTTTATTTCCGGGTTGCATAATAATTTGAGTCCTAGACTTTCTGATAAAAATAATAGTAACAATAATATGATTGAGTTTTGCCAACTAAACAAGCAAAAATCAGCTAACTAAAGATGACGAACTAAAAGAAGAACAAGCAAGAATCAGCTAACCAAAGCAAAGCAACTGAAAAAAAACTGTTAACAGTATTGGAGGCAAAGGTTTAAACTTTAAAACAAGGCTTTACAGTACAAAACTAACCTGTTGGAATATTCACGAGACACCCAAAAAGTGATCATTGGCAATGCCAGCTAATAAGACGCCTCACAACCCGAAGATGTGTGCCTCCTCCATAGCTGCATCTTAAATGTAGTGTTCTCACCACTAGATACAATTTCATGCATTATAAGCGAATTGCAACAGAAGGAAAGTCCGAAGTAACCAATGAATTCCGTACCTGCCTTTATAGTTTCATCACAACAGCAGCTTACAACCCTTTGCTTTCAATTTGTTTTCTAATCCAAAAAACTTCAAACCAGACACCACCAGATCTGCCGTCTTCTTCTTCATGTGTTCAATTAATACTTCATCATACACAATCATGTTGGCTTCTGTTAAAATTTTGTGCTCTTTCAAATTTGAAAATATTTTTCTTGCCTCCTCTATTGTGCCATGCTTACACATGCCAGAGATTATAGCAGAGTATACAACATCATCTGGAGGACAACCCTGCTGTATCATCTCGTTTAGCACCTCAACCACCTTCTCAGCATTATTTGATTTACATGCATGGAGAATGGTAAGAGAATACTTGAATTCCGAGGGCCCACTTGTCACGCTGGCTAAGCAGTCACGAACTAACAGCATAACTGCATCAATCTCTCCAATTTTACAAAGCCCTCTAGCAAGCGAACGGTAGGCAGCAATCGAAGGAACACAAGACATCTCAATTATTTTATTATAACAGGCACAAGCCTCATGGATGTCCCCACCTTCAACAAAACACATTATGGCAATGCTGTAAGTAGAGGAGTCGGGCTGCAAATCCACATCCTTCGTTTCATTAAAGAGAGACAATGCTTTTTTCACTTTCCCAGATTTGTGGAGGGCCTCCATAAAGGTATTGTAGATTCCTAAACTATAATAACCTTTGACTTTTAACTCTTCAAACACTTCCAAACCCATTGTTACTCCGTCCTCCTTTCCTACAATAAAGGAGAAGAATTTCAAAAGATTGTCAATGACAGGAAAACCACATTTCTCCATCTGTGCAAGCATCTCGCAGAACTTATCCACTTTTCTTGTCTCAGCATAGAACACCAAAATGGGATTCACCGTAGCGAAATCTGGCTGAAGACCCTCTTGAACAGTAACTCGGAAAATTTTATAAGCCTTATCAACCCGCTTCACATTACATAAACCCTCAATAAGAGAATTATATATCCCCAAATCTGGCCTATACCCCGAATCCACCAAATCTTTCAACAAATCACAAGCCACCCCAACTTTACTGTCTGCCACAAACCCCTCAATCAACACCCCGTATATCACTCTATCAATCAAGAAACCCTTCGCCTTCATCTCCCTAAACAATTCGTACCCTTTCTCCACCCTGCCACCCTTACACAACCCTGTAACCAGAGTTGCATATGCCATAGCATCAGCCTCAACCCTATCTCTCTTCATTTCCTCCCAAACCCTCAAACATCCATCTAAGTTCCCCTCCGAAAGCAAAACCTTAACCATTGCCGTGTATGCAAACACGTCCGGTTTACACAAATTCGCCCTCATTCTCTCCAAAAGCTGCAACATTTCGTCAATTCTTCCCATTTTACACATACCCTTTATCAAGATCATGAAAGTAACACTCTCCTCCACCAATCCATCATCACGAAAGTCATCGTAAACCGATAAGGCCAAATCCAAATAACCCGTTTTCGCCAACGCATCCATGATCCTATTGTACAAGAAAACCCTGGGTTTAACCCCAAATTTCTTCATTTTTTCGTACACATAATAAACCCTGAGACCTCTATTGGCATCAGAGTGCATTCTGATGAGAATCTCAAACTGTTTCTCGCTCGGCGGTTTGCCCTGCGAGTCCATCAGCTCAGGGACTTGGTCCGCCGACCTGAACCGGTTGGACCGGTTCAGACAATAAGCCAAGGCATTGTATGAAGAATAAGTGTGCTTGAAACCCTTTTGCTTACCTGCCCAGTGGAAGAACTTGGAGGCCGAAACGGGGTCGTTCTGGACCTTGAGCACCTCGGCGACGAGGTCCGGCGTGACCCGGCGGAGCTTACGGAGCTCCGAGACGACTGGCGGGCCCCAGCGGTTCCGGTTCTTGCGGAAAGCATCGAGTATGAAGCGAGCGATGGGGGAGAGAAACGAGAGGAGGGTCGTGTCGTCGGGGTTGGGCGATGAAGTGGACGGCGAGGATTGGGGCAGGTGTGGGTCCCACTTGGAGAGATCGAATGGCTGGGATTGGGTGACGGTGGTGGGGTATTTGCGGCTCGGCTGAGAGACACGGTCGGAGAAGAGGCCGCCGCGGACGGTTGGGCGGTTCTGTGTGGGCCTGCGGTGGCCGTGGAAGATCTGGAATTTAGGGGGTGGGGACTGAGGTGGCATTTTAAAATTTGTTGCTGCCCCTTTCTCTCTAATTCTTTTCGTTTGATAATGTGGTGACTAAAATGGCCACCGGCTGTTCCCTTTTAAATAAATAAAATAAAAAATTATTATCATCATCACTGCAGAGCGTCGTCTTCCTTTGTGAGCTCTCTCTCTCTCTCTGCTCAGTTGTCTGCAGTCCGCAGAGTGTCCTCTCTCCTCTGTTGGCCGTCGTCCCTCACGCTCGCAGCTAATGACACACACTGAGAGAGGTGAGCTACTTTCTTATCCATTTGGTGATTTAGGGGTTTCGTAAATTTCTAATTTTCCTGCTAATTTAGGGTTTATGAACCATAAATTTGGTCACAGATTATTTGTATATACTTGTGCAGTCAATGATTTTTGGATATGTATACTTATTCCTTGAAGAATCTTGGACGCATATCGAACCGGAAATGGACGATTGTTGTAGGAGGGAAAAAAAATTAATGTTGAATTGCTTGATTATTGTAAAACAAAACCGAAATGCCCGATCATCGTAAAAGGGACGGCTGTCTTAATGTTCTTGCAAGTAGCAAATAATCCTTCGAAACTGCTAGATTGTAATTCTTCACTTTAAAAGTAATAAAAGTTCATACATTTTCGTTGTTTGTTTTTTGTTTTTGTTTTCGTTCGGATTTTAGAAAGCTTAATTAGGGACGAAAGTGATTGTTTTGGATATAGTCGTTCAGAGTCTTGAGAAATGAAATTGTTCTAATGCTGTTCTCATTTGTGTACTTCGTAGATTTTAAGTGCCACGAGAAATGAAATGCTTTCGGGTTGCTACCTGATCACATGATACTGTGCTCCCTCTGTCATCACATTTTCAGCCCAATTACGAAAACTCCTGTGAATATGGCTGCTGCTGCGTTGGTAGTACCATCATACATCCCGTTCCCCTTAGACCGCTCTGGTCCCCATAGCTCTAAGCTCACCTTTTTCTTCTCTACCAAATCCCTACCAAGGTTCCACTATCATAGGCCTCTCACATTCTCTTGTGGCCTCAACCTCACTCCACATTTGCAAGCGCCGGAGCCTCCCACCTCCGCTGTGTCTCAAACCCTGGTTCGACTTGCCGCCTCCACCGCAGTCTTTTTTGGGCTTGGGCTTTGCTGTTGGGCCAGTTCAGCTCAATGTCGGCCTCTTCCTCTCGGCAAGCCTCAAGTGGTTCTAGAGGAGGAGCACACAGTTCAAGGTAATTTCTCAAATCAGTTGAGTTTAGCTTCTTTTTTTTTTTTTTTTATCAATAAGGCAGGTTTGTTTCGCATAACTGTAGTTTTTGAAATTGTACATTTGATGAGCACAGCCAAAGATGATGGAGATGAAGCTAAATCTGAAAGTTTGGGAAAATCGGAAGATAACAAGTTGGAAGCAGCATTTGCAGCTTGGAAGTCTAAGACTTATGCTTTGACAGTCCCTTTGAGACTTGCTGCTCTCCGTGGCTCTGTGCCTCCTTCATGGGTTAAGGTATGAGGTGCTTTTTGTTTTGTGTATTTCTGTCATATGACATCAGATTTGGTATTCAGTTTGGTAGGTAGCTGGGATTACAAGTGGTGGATTATTTTATTCTTTTAGAGTGAGTAACTTAATTTATTTCCTTCTGACAATGTAGGATTTTATGCAATCTCAAGGAAAAAGATCAAAGGTTCACATGAAGTCGCATGCAAGCCTTGAGGGCATCTTTTCTGATCTATCAATGGCCTTTAGCAAAGGCAATGTTGGGCCTTCATCTGTCGTCGCAGCTGACCTCGTTAGTGTTGGGGACTCTTGGCTCAGTTATGCCATTAGCAAGGCTGTGATTGAGCCCATTCAAGGGGTAGAAGACCAGGACTGGTTTAAAGGCTTGAGTGACCGATGGAAAGTAAGAAAACAACTGCTCTTTCATGTCCTCTTGATTCTCGATTCTGAAAAATTGTGTTCCTTTGGCTCCCTGTATTATACATTGAGTAATGCCTTGCTATGCTTATTTTCTGGCCATGCCATTTAAGGTTGATGTGTTGTGAAAACTGTAAAAAAGTCATAGGTCAATTGAAATACAAGGCTTGTGTTCATGACCACAAATCAGAGGACTAAAAAAATGTATTACAGTATTACTAACATCCATGTGATGGAATATATCATTAGCTTTACTATAAATATTAAATATGTATGAAGAGGGTAGGCCCCGAAAACTACAGATATATATCTTTTTTTGCAGTAATTTCTAAGAAGAGATTTAACTTTTCTTTTTGCTGTTTTAATCACCGGGGCTATCTGTCCTGAATTAATTGTTACAACGCATTTCTAAGATATATGTTGTGTAACCAGAATCTCAGGAATCAAATAGAATATGTTTCACCTGGCATGCCAGACACTGGAATCAGTATTATTATCTTTTGTGGTTTTCCTACTATGCTTGAATATTGGTTTTGAGTTTTATTGTGCGTGTTTCCTTATGTAGTTTATGCATTTTCTTGCATTTGAAGTACTGTTTCCATTCTTTCGAACTGGCAATGCCTTTTTGTTCCCTCAGAAATCAGTTATGGTGTTTTACTATTACTAAAAATGACTCAGGTATATCTCCGCAGGAACTCTGAGGGGAGAATTGACACTGACGGTAAAGTATGGGCTTCGCCGTATCGCTGGGGCTGCATGGTGATAGCATACAAAAAAAGTAAATTTCGAAAGCATAAGTTGGCTCCTGTAGAGGTAAACATGTCCCCAAACTGTTTATTATCTGCTAATTCTTTTTAATTAAACTCTTTTTTTATATCAGTACTCTTTACCTCAAAGTATAACATTTGATTGATAAACACAATATTCTATGAAGTGGGAAAATTTATGAAAAGAAGTTTGAAAAATGATTCAAGGGTTAAATTTGCTAGCTGAAACATATGTTAAAATTCAAGTATAACATTTGATTGATAAACACAATATTCTATGAAGTGGGAAATTTTATGAAAAGAAGTTTGAAAAATAATTCAAGGGGTAAATTTGCAAGCTGAAACATATGTTAAAATTCATACTCGCTAGCTTTCATTTGAATCTGGCGCATTTTGGATTTTTTAAAATATTATCTAATGTACAACATTCTAAGAGTTGTAAAACCACCATTGCAGGACTGGGCAGATTTATGGCGACCTGAACTTGCAGGGAAGATTTCTATGGTTGATTCTCCTAGAGAGGTTCTTGGTGCAGTTTTGAAGTATATGGGAGCATCATACAACACGAAACACATCCATTCGCAAGTTGACGGTGGGAAAGATGCTGTCAGGCAAAATCTGGCTTTACTTGTAAAACAGGTATTGAGAGAAAAGATCTAACATCTTTGTTTTGGGTGAGGGTGTACTTGATAAACTAATAGAAAAGTAGATTGCTCCCAAATCTGGAGCTAAATTTAGGGAATGGACCTCAGTTTTGGAACTACGACTCTAAATTATTCTACTTATTTAGGGTATTTCTAGCCGTGGCTTGTGCAGTTCTGATGTCTTATGTGATGAACATGTCTCGGGATTATTTGAAAAAAAATCGTGACATGCTCATTGGCTTTCTGTAGGTCCGACTATTTGACAGTGTACATTATTTAAAAGCATTTGGGGTTGGAGACGTGTGGGTGGCTGTTGGGTGGAGCAGTGATGTTCTTCCTGTTGCCAAACGCATGTCTGATGTTGCAGTAATTGTTCCAAAATCTGGAGCTAGTATATGGGCAGATCTATGGGTACATCCTCCATCATGTTCTCTTAGACATTTACGTTATCCTCTATATCGTATCTTCTCCTAGATGTCAATTTATATTTTTTGTTCTTTTTCTAGGCAATCCCTGCCACCAGTCGGCTTGAAACAAATCGAATTGGGGGGCGAGTTAGAGGGCCGTCTCCACTCATCCATCAATGGATGGAGTTCTGCTTGCAAACTGCTAGAACACTCCCTTTTAAGCAGGAGGTAATCCCAGGAGCTTCCCCTTCCGTGCTTGATAGTGCTCAGCCTGAAGATTTGAAAGAGCTCAAGGGTAAGCCGAAACTGGACACAAACCTCGTGGCAGGAGTACCGCCACCTGAGATTTTGGAAAGGTGTGAGTTTTTGGAGCCTTTAACTGAATCTACGCTATCAGAATATCAACGGTTGATTGCTAATGTGCACAAACCTAGGGATGGTTTGATCACTAGTACGCGTGATTATATGTCATCATTGATCCAAAATTTTAGAATGAAGCTGCAATCGAAGCCAACATAATCCTGAATTATAACAGGAGCCTAAACCAAGTACAAAGTTGCATGATGAGAATTAATTCATTTGTTTATATCCAGTAACATAAGTTCATGGAGACATGCAATGTTCAGCAGAATTGTAAAAATATTATCGAGGAACTACTTGTATAATATGGTGGATACGCTTATTTTCTCGTTTTTTTTTTTTTCTCCTCTTCTGTTGTTTTCAAGTTTTCGAAAGAAGATAGGTTGTCTTTCAGATTCTAATTTCTATGCGACCAGGATTCACTAACATATGGTGTTGCTCCCTTTGAAAGCCAGAACATACTGTATCCATTTGCGCATCAGGACTCTAAGCGGATACCATATGTTCGGATACCACCTGCGTGATGCTATAAGCGGAAAGCTGCTTTTGAACAAAGGAACACCATATGTTCGGTTACCACTTGCGTGATGCTATAAGCAGAAAGCTGCTTTTGGACAAAGCACTAAACTGAGCAGGCAATCAAAAGCAGAAAATCGAACCCGCCAATATCCAATCAAGGAATTTATAACTTTGCTAGTCAATTTAGTATTGTGAGCTGATCCAGTAAACATTAGAGCAGCTCCACCCCATTGGGGTAGGCCGGCTCAAAGCTCACAAAATGGGCTTCCTCCCAATTTTTTGCTCCAGCCGGGCTAAATAGGTTGGCCCCCACCCAAGCCAGTCCATAGGCTGGCCCAGAATGTGCCGAGCAATGTGTTGGGTCATGTGATGTCACGCTGGCGTCAGCCTGACGTCACAGCCTGCTGATATATTTTTTTTTTGCTTCAGGCGCGTGGGAAGCACGCGCGAGTGGGCGTTCCCAACAAAAAAATAAGGCAGAGGGGCCCGTTGTTGTAGCGCACCAATTTGTAACCCGTGAGTAGCCACATGGCTCGTTACGGGCCGTTGGATTTCCAACGGTAAAAAAAATTTGAAATTCGAACCCAACGGCTAGTGACATGGCGTGTTCTGAGCCGTTTGATCCCAAGATCAACAATCCACGTTTTTTGTCCACAAAATGAAAAAAAAAAAAACCAAACGGTCAGAATTGTGACCGTTGGCCACATGTCCACATCTGAGCTGTTGGATTTGAATCTTTTTCAAATCCAACGGTCCAGATTAATTAAGATAATAAAAATACAGAAAAAAAATTTAAATATTTTATTATTTTTTCTATAAATACCTAACCATCATCTTCCACCTTACACCACATTTCAATATTTTCAACACTTTCAACCAAAGCTTTCATATGCTTTTGGATGATGAAATAGTACGTTCGTATGATAACATGTGACGTGACAAGATTGGTTGAAAATCTGATCGAAATCTTGGCTAAATTATTGTAAACAGATACTGACACGTGGCACGTCGAGATTGGTTGAAAATTTTATCGGAAATCTATTCACAAAATAGTACTTTCGGATAATGACACGTAGCGTGACAAGATTGGTTAAAAATGCTATCCGAAATTAAAACTAAATTTTATTTATTTATTATTTTATAAAAAAATTAATAATATTTTAAATAGGCTGGGTGCTAGCGCATTTTGTAGGGATGGAGATCGTTTGTGCCAACATATTTTTTAAAACTAAATTTTATTTATTTATTATTTTATAAAAAAAATTAATAATATTTTAAATAGGCTGGGTACTAGCGCATTTTGTAGGGATGGAGATCGTTTGTGCCAGCATATTTTTTAGGGGTGGAGATGCATTTGACCAATTACTATTCATTAGGATCTATCACTGTTCACTGAGTTGATTAAATGAGCTAAGTGTCAGCGCATTTTTAAAGGGGTGAAGTTGCTCTAATAGAAATGACATACATACATGTCGATCATGCCTACATATCTACTATTATGAGGCTGGCAATTCAAAACAAACGAACCAAAAGGGATACCTCGTCTTCTAGCACTCGCTACTCTTACGCAAAATCGAACCTCTTTCTGTTATTTCCCCTACTCCAGTAATTACCTGTTTGATAATCACTCCCTTGAAATCTTGAGCTTTTATTGCCTGGTCTATACTGGTGGCCACCGTCGTTCCTTGCTCCCCGACTAAGACCATAGTCCCAAGAATTTTCACCACGATCCAAGTTTTTTTACTCCTGGTTGCAGCCCCAAGAATTAGATACCGGATCAGCCTCCTTCCCAAGGATTGACACCAGTATCCCAACCCTTTGGAGGAGTGATACTGTCCCCCATCTGGTTCCATCCCCGCGACTCATTCCTGCTATCTTCCCATGCATTCTTCTCCGCACTTCCATTGCCCTGAGTAATTCCACGTTCCCAAGTGACGTCACCATTAGTATGCCACTGGTTCCTGCCCCGAGCTGTATTTATCAAATGTCCACTACCCTGAATGTGTTGTGCCTTGGCCCGTTCATTAGTGCAGAAACGAGATTCAGATTACAACCTCACCAAATCACACTCACAGTTGAACAGAATAAAATACAAGAAATAAAGACACCGAGAAATTTACGAGGTTCGGCAAAAATCCTGCCTACGTCCCCGGAGAGATATTGCTCTTCACTATGAAAATAACAGTACAAGTACACATGAGTTAAATCAACATAACCCAATCCATAATCCCTTGCACACCCACTCATAGAATTTTCCCAAGAGCCTCACTCTACCCCAAGAATTCTTTCACTATAATACTTTTCACTCTCGCTCTCTTGATTTTCTCTCAACCCATGTTCAACATTTCCCATAGGAGAGCCGAATGCTCTCTCCATCTTGATGCTTTCCTCATACCTTATCAGGAGAGAGCCGAATGCTCTCTCCCTCTCCCTAACTCGGCAAGCCTTCTCAATATAAGGCCAAGCCATCATAGCCATCATCATTGTGTCTTACATCATCATTAAAGCAAAAGCAAGCATCATCATTATGTCTTTACTCATGATGATGTCCACCAAACTTTTGCTTTTACTTTGCAGCACTTGTCTGCAACTTTCATGCAACCCACACCATGTGATATTTTCACCGAAAGCAAACACAGGTCACTTCATTGTTGTTAACACATGACTCATAATTACTCACAAATGTATGAGCCAAACACAACAGAATGTTGTCACATTCCCAAGGATTTGTACGATCATCTAGGATTGTGTTATGTTCATCGAGAGGAACAAAATCTGAATATTTTGCCTTCTTGTTTGTTTGCCCAATCTTGCCTTTCCCTTCTCCCTCATCAGGAGCAAAGTATTCATGATCCACCTCCTTAACGAGTGCACGATCGATATTGGGGTTCCAATCTATTGTATCAATAATCTGGCAGAGAGGCGTCACAGCGGAGGCCATTGATGTCTGTCCAAAAGCCTTTTTTTGCATCTTGAAATGCCTCCTCAGCAGGCATCTACTACCTTCCACCACGGTATAGGCCCGACCAAAGTGCAGTATTGCTTTTCCCAATAAGGTATACCATCCTGCCAACTCCTTATGGATGAAAAAACAAAACTCGTAAGATTCGAGTAATATCCAATGCCATTGCTGCCAGAATGACTCTTTCAACAATGATACAGAATTAATTCCGCACTTGTCTTGTCCAACATTGAAAACAAGCCCCGTAACCACCCACTAATAAAACGAAAGGAAAACACAAGTAGAGAACTCACATCTCTAACAAGTAATACCTTGAACTAAAACCATGATGCATCAGAGAAGAAACATCTCTATGAACAGTTTCCATAGTCTAAGAAATTATGATAGAAACCTTACAATGCACGAGACGGAATTAGTTATGTTACACAACGAGTGTCAAATTTAGAATATAATCTCGAATCTATATCCAATTATCGGTCTTTAATACGAAACGAGTGTCTTATAACAAGTGCTTTCTAGCATTGCTCTCCAGAATATTATCAAACTCACCTTACCTTTCCAATAATTTTCTCAGTTGAACAAATAAACAATTCTGAAACATCAAGGTTCTTTTAGGTCGATATTTTCTCGGGAACCAAACATAAATCACTGTTACATTACGGGAAAGAAAGAAAGAAAAGGCAAAAATTGAAAACCCACCAAGAAAGACCCACAAAACCAACAATTTACGAAGAACCCAATTCAAATTTAATGATAATATACACAAGAAACAAAGGAAAATAGAAGACTTACCAGAAGGGGGAGGAGGTTGAGGGTGAAATGGGCAGAGGCAATGCATCCGGGAGCTTTTCCTGACGGCAGAATCTACGGTGGGGACGATGAATCCACTTGCCCATTTTCCAATTCCGGCAACACATTGACTGACATGAAGAGAAATTGGATTCAAATCAAGAAAATCAAAGCTTTCAGAACTGCTATTGCAGATTCTTCGCTATGTTGCAGAAAGAGAAGATTTTACAGTTGGAGAGCTTTTCAGTTCAGAGGTAGGATAATGGGCTTCAGTTGGGAAGGTGGTGCGCTGTAAATCTGGCAGGAGGCGACTGAGGAGGAGGTTTTGACAGGCCCATGTTTTGGGTTGAACGGAGTCCACTAAGTGATGAGCAACTTTTAGGCCCAGTCCAAATCTGAAGTTTAAAGTTTAGATGGCAATTATTGTTTGGTGCACACTTATCAGAGGTGGGTGTACCCCGGGATGAGGATTCTCTATCATCCTAATCTCTCTATCCTTCCATCCCCTCCTATTTGAACGGTCATGGTTAAACCACGTCAACATCTTATATTAATTTTTTTTTATAGAGATAATAAGACAAAAAATAATGTGTGAGAGGAGGGGATGAAAGGGGATGGGAATAGGAGGGTAGAGAATCCTCCTCCTATACCGCCCTTACACGAATGTTCAGAATGTGCTTAATGTGATCTATGCATGATGTGGTTATGAATCTCTCACCTCCTTGACTTAATTCTTCATACAATCAATCACTTTAATGTCTAGCTTAGTTATAAGCTTACATTGACCATATGTCTTAGGATAATGTTAGGGAGACCAAATTTTAAACCAAATTTACGAATCAAATGATGTGTCACTAATAAGAAATAAGCACGTTAATCAACATTTAATTAATAATTCAATAATCTATATCCACATCATTTGTTTGCAAATTTAGTTTAAAATTTTGGTTTAGTTTATCCACAAAGCAATAATATAGTGTTGAATTTACATTACATTTTGGCGTCTATGCTAATTGGTGTCAAAAGTTATCATGTATTTGATGTCTTTAACTTGTTAGAGAT